GTGGGGCAGGGAGGGGAGGGGATGCAAAGGGCCCAGGTGAAGGCTCTTCTAGAAGTTGAGGGAGTAGGTGATGGTGGAGTAGACCAGAGGGGAAAGTAGTGGGTGGAGAAAGAATTGGTTGGCTTGGTATTTGGGGGTATAATCGAAAGGACCTCTTGATAGATGAGGTACGTCTTTATGGGAGAGAACTCAGTAAGAACTTGCAGGTTTCTAATAGGACATCTGGTTGGACAATGATGCCTTTGACTCATCAGGAATACAAGTGATAGGCAGGGGCCATAAATAAGAGTGTTTTTCAGACCTCTTAAATTTGAAAAGCCTGTAGACACCCAACTACTTGAGACCGAAGCCCAGAGGGAAGTCTGGAGTTTGCGGATAGAAATAGGAGACACATGGATGGCACTCAAAACCTTGACATGGGTCGAGGTCACCGAGGCAGTAAGTGGAGCTGTGAGAGGAGACTGAGGAGTGGGTGGTGAGGAAGGGAAACCACTATCAGGAGAGTGCAGGTCCTAGAACTCAGGAGAAGAAAAGGTTTCTATGGGCATAATTTATAATGGAGAACTGTATTTGCAATGGAAACTACAGATAACAGTTTAATATATTACAAATGAATAGTAAAAGGACAGGACCCTGTAGAGAAATGCAGAAATGATAGGAATAGTCAGTTCCCGAAGGGCAAATCCTAATGGCTAATAAACCTATGAAAAGATGTTTAATCTTACCATTAATCAAGGAAATGCAAATCTAAAAGAGCCTAACACCTAATGCTGTCACAGATTGGAAGGGAGGTCATTTTCATACCTTGGTGGAAATGTAAATTATTACGGCTTTTTTGAAAGCAGCCTGGCAATATCTATTAAAGTGACTCTTCATAATGCAGAGAATTTGATAAAATATGCTTCATTCTCTGTGTGTATAAATCTAGCCCCCTCCGTCCAAAACACTTCCCCCTGTGTATAAACACCTGCACGTCTGTGGCTGTGAACATGGAGGCGAGCGCACTCCGCTGTTCATAACGATTGGCTGGGGTAAGTCAGCCTCCACCACCCACTCCCTTGGGAAACCCTATACACCTCAACTTAAAAGAAAAACGGTCTCCAGGATAAAAGCGTCGGTGACCTATCCCATACGTGTAACTGTGTGTGCATGTGTGTGTATCTACATATATGTTCCATGTTGGCGTCCCGTCCCGTCTGCTCTTTGCCTTCTTCCTGCTCCTTTGAAGGCATCTGCCCGGATAGTTGCCTGCAGTCACTGTAACAAGAAAAGCGATGACTGATTTATTAAACCAAACAGTGAAACAAAGTAGAGGAAAGATTGAAGGAAAGGAGAGAGAGGAGAAAGCACTAAGGACCTTTTGCTACGGATTAGAATAGATATTGTCTTAATGTTCTTATGTAAATACCGCTGTTTAAATGGTGTTCCTGAAATATGTGAAGTACTAGTAGAATTAACAATGAGGTGTTGGAGTTATAATTCATAGAGCGAAGGTAAACAGGAGAGAAAGGAGGCGTAAAAAGCCGGACGTGATGCTCAGGCATTAACTGTCTCCACTGGGGTTGATAAATAGAACCCAGCAAAAGAATGTTATAAGAGACCAACCCAACAGAAAATAGCGGGCAAGAGTTACCCCGAAATGGAAATACCTCTTTATCACAGGAGTAAAACAGAGGTGGCAAGTAGAATTTAGGGGACGAAAGCACATATTCCATGTCATTTTATGTGGACAATGTAAAACCCAATGAAATGGACACCAAACATTAAGAGAAAGGCCCAAATTGGCTGTCTTACAAATTGGTTTTGGAAATACCTGAATCTGGTTTTATGTGATTATCTTTCTTTAAGCAATTTTTGGGGGGGAGGCAGGATTTGGAAGATCTGAGTAAAGCCATGAAATCTCTCCCCATAGTTAAGATAGGAAACAAAAACACAGTCAAAGGAAATCAGTTTGGTCTTAGACAAGACATGGAGTTCCAGGCCTTGAAGGAAACCTGGTGGAGCCGTCTCGTTTTACAGATGTGGAAGTGAAGGCCCCAAGAGATGGAGTGATACCTTCGAGATCACGATTCAGATCAGAAGCAGGACTTAGCTATGGATTCCTCAGCACACCAGAGCATCTGCTCCGTGACACGTGATCCCTTCAGTTAAGAGGCGCACTCGTGATGGCGAGGAATCCTCAGGCTGCGCCATATGTCAGTTAATGAGGCCGGCAGATTTCTTTGAGACGCCACACAAGTGTGTTCCTCTTCCGTGGCTTGTAGGACCTGTAGATGGAAATGGTTTGTGCCTGGAAACCAAAGGAAAGGTTGGGGCCACAGGTGGAGATTTCGGAGTCAGATCATTTCCTGAAACACTCTAAGGATAATGTATAATAAACTGTGTAACGTTCTGCAGAATCTGGACTTAATCGTACCGAGGGGCTCAGCCTCAGCTGTGCATAAGAACCGGTAGGTCCGGGGAGAGGCCAAAGTGTTCTTAATTTTTAAAAGCTCCCCAGGTTTTAGATGTGCAACTGGGAGTGTGTGCTCAGTGAGGCTGTGGAAGGGCCTAAAGCAAGGAAGTGGCATTTTCAACAGTGATTGTAGCGGAAATGGGTGGGGAGAGATGGTATCTTTCAGTGACTGTGTAATATTGCATCAAGGTAATTTTTCATAATTCTGTTTTGCAGGGCTTGCATTTCTAGGGTGTGTGTGTAAATTCACTATTATCCCCCAAAAGTCTGTCTTTGGGAGTTTCTTGTTGTTGTTTTAATTACTTTACTAGGATAGTTCCCAGGAGTAATTCTTTTGAATGGAAGGAAATGAGTAGTTGTGGCTCCAGATAATGTATTACCGTGATGGCTGTAATCCATGTACAGTGTTCCTCTCTGTGTGTTGGGCCAAATATGGCCTTTAGAATCATTCTGTAAGGTTCAAGGAAAAAGCTATTGGGACTTTGATTAGATTAAATTTATTTTGAAATCAGCAATTAAGTTCTCAGAACAGTGTTTACGTTGTGTTTATGGTATTTTACATGATTTAAGTTTATATTTAATGACTTACATTTCTCTCTAATAGATTGATGAACTCCCAGAGGGAGCGGTGAAGCCTCCAGCAAACAAGTACCCCATCTTCTTCTTCGGCACCCATGAAACGTGAGTCAGCAGAACAGCCTCGTTCTAAATGCTCTAACTTGACGGTTGGACTGTGTTGCTTATAGACGATCTGTAACATCTTATGTGTAGTGAAAGTCATTATAATAAATTGTATTACCAGCCTCAATGATGACAGGAAGTTGCATGGATGACGGCCGTCTGCATTCATTCCCATGGCAAGAACATGGTCGTGTGGCCACACGCTGCTGTCAGGGAAGCTGGAAAGCACTGGCTCTAGTGGGGAAAACTGGGAGGAGTAACCAGTCCATTAATAAAAGAAAGCAGGTGATGGGCACTAGGGCCAGTTGATTAATTACAAGCACACAGGCGGAATAGGAATCCCAAATGTGGGGGAGCTGACCACCACCACGGATCCCCCAGGTCTTCGCGCTCAGGGTGACCCCTGTGCTCGCTCCCTTGCTGGCGGTGCCGGGTGTGGCTTTCCTCAGCCACTGTCTCCCCCACTCACACTTCCCTCGGTCCTGTCTGGAAAGAGTTCGCCAGGAGAGGGCCCTGAAGGCAAATGTCTCTCTTGTCTTCATATAAGAAATAGTTGCATTTCTTTCAGGAAGTTAGTTTTTACTTTCTTTTGTTTTACTTTTATCTAACAGACACTGGGGACTATGCAACTTATGTTTTCTTTCATAGAGAAATTGCTAGAAAATACCACAATCTTGGGTTGCTGGCTTGTGTACCCAGTGTCTGTTTTTTCTGCCTTGAAGCGTATGTGTAAAACAGCTTTTGCTATGTGCCTAACCCAGAGGGTATATATCTAGATACTTTCTTGGAATTGTTTTTATTGATGATTTGAGAGAGAGAAACATCAGTTTGTTGCTCCACTTACTGATGCACTCGGTTGATTCTTGTATGTGCCCTGACCAGGGATCGAACCCACAACCTTGGCGTATCAGGACGACACTCTAAACAAGTCAGCGATCCAGCCAGGGCTCTATATATTTTTAATTTGCTTACTAAAATACGTTCTGGCACCTTAGTAGATACCGATGTTAAAAATGCCTTACGTTGCCCTGGCTGGCATGGCTCAGTGGTTAGACTGTCTGCCACTCAAGGAAGGGCCACAGGTTTGAATCCTGATCAAGGGCACGTACCTGGGTTGCAGGTTCCATCCCCCGCCCGGGAGGCAGCCAATCCATGTGTCTCTCTCTCACTGAAGTCTCTCACTCCTCTCGCCCCACCCCTTTCACTCTCAAAAATAAGGGAAGAAATATCCTCAGGTGAGGATTTAAAGAAAAAACACACAAAACTTAGATTTGAAGGTCAGAGCGTCAGTTCTGTTTCCAATGTGTCTCCACAGTGCGTTTCTAGGTCCCAAGGACCTCTTCCCCTATAAGGAGTACAAAGACAAGTTCGGGAAGTCGAACAAACGGAAAGGATTCAACGAAGGGCTGTGGGAGATAGAAAATAACCCCGGAGTGAAATTCACCGGGTACCAGGTGAGGCTGGTTTCTCGGCACTTGCTGTAGCTCGTTTCTTTCTTTTAAACTCCCTTTTGGATCTTACATGTTTTTTGTACTAAAGGTTCCCCCCTCCATTTGAAGCTGGAATTCTTTTTGGCTTTGGTAGCATTTTGGGTTAAATGTAATTCTGTTACCAAGAGGGTTCAGAGTCAAGTGGTCACTGGGAGATTGAGGTGGACAGCCCTTTATTTTGAAAATCTTAAGAGTAAGCTGAGCCTTTTCAAGTGAAAATAGAGGGATTCTTTTCATGGCCTATGTTCTTTGCTATTTTTTCAGAAAAGCAACTAGCTAATATTTTATTATTTGTTAGGCAATTCAGCAGCAGAGCTCCTCAGAAACGGAGGGCGAAGGCGGGAACACTGCCGATGCGAGCAGCGAGGAGGAAGGTGACCGAGTCGAGGAAGACGGGAAGGGCAAACGGAAGAGGGACAAGGCTGGCTCGAAGCGGAAAAAGTCCTACACGTCAAAGGTTACGAGACACTTCCCGTTGTTAGTGCCACATGCATACGCGTGGAAGGTTTTAGGATATTTTAGCTTCATCCATTGGGCACAAAGAAATGTACCAGCTCTGGGGAGGCTCTGCCTTAGAGACAGGACAGCCGAGGGGAGTTGGACAGGTAACCAGGGGAGGGCAGCTGGCTGTTGACTCCATGGGCTGATTTGGCCCTGAAAATACTGCCTGCTCAGCTAGAGGAGGTCTGTTCTTCAGTCAAGAATGCAGGCTAGGCGTGCGTCCTACAACATCCCGGGTGAGTGCTGACGGGTTTAGGAGTGTAGGAGACTCAGTATGACGCAGGAGCATCTCACTGTGCTATAGATGCAAACACAGAGATATAAAGAATGTACTTTGGTTGTTTTTTTCAGTTTTCCTATTTCCTGGTCACCGGTTTTATGTCAGACACTTGTACTAGGTGTCCAGTAGTGAGCAAATCCAAATCCATCCCTGCCTCGTCCGACTTCCACCCTCTTGTAACTCTTACAGCTCAGTGGGTTGGGGGAGGAACAGAGTAAATGAACAAATAAAAAATGTACATTGTGAAGGGGAGCAGGGGAGGCGTAGGTCGCTCCTTCTGCATTTCTTACACTCGTGTGTGGGGGTTTCTACTTGATTATAATTTTTAACTTATCTAAACATTTAGAAATCCTCTAAACAGTCCCGGAAATCTCCAGGAGATGAAGATGACAAGGACTGCAAAGAAGAGGGGAACAAAAGCAGCTCGGAGGGTGGAGATGCCGGCAATGACACGAGGAACACAACTTCAGACTTGCAGAAAACCAGCGAAGGGGTAAGGAGACGGGCGCAGGTCCCCTTTCCGCGGACTCACTTAGGGCCTGCGTCTGAGCATTGGTGACGTTGCCTAGTGGAGGGAGAAACGTTCTTCTCCGCCCCTTCCATCCACCGGCAGCTCCTGAGTAGGTCAGGTGCTCGGACTGTGGACAGGGGAGCCGGGGGAGCTGCGCCTGCCTGTCGGTTGGCTCTCTGTGAACAGTGTTCTTTTTAAACTAACTTCGGCAACTTGAGAGCCTTTTAAAGTCAGGTGTGAAATGCGGAAATTATGGATTGCCACCTCAGATTTTGACGGTTGCGTTTCTTTCATTATAAAATAAAAGGCATATTGGAAAAGGGCGTTTCTTACTGCTGCTGCTTTCCTGGAAGCGGCCATAATTTAATGTGCTCGTGGGAACTTGAAGTATTAAAATATTCAAACGGTATGTGAACACTGATATTTAAAGGACCCGAGAGGAAAGCGTGTCCACTTTGAGTCTTGTTAGCTTTGTCAACCTCTGTTAACTTCAGAGTCACAGGCAGGAGCTCCTTCGTAAGGTGTGAGTGAAGGAAAGTGTTGCCACTGGTCGGTTAGGCTTCAGAGGACAGACTCATGGAAAAGGAGCAGTGTCGAGTTGTTTAAAAACAGTAGCCCCTGCAGCGGATTACTGTCACTCTCCTGTTAAAGTCTCGTGTCAGCTGAGTTCCCGCCAACTCTCGTTTGTGCTGGTGACATCTCAGCCCTCCTCCTCCGGTTTCCATAGTTACTCCAGTTTTGGGATTCTGTCATCCCCTCCTCCCCCCAGCCCTGCCCTGTCCTCGGTCTGTCTTCGTTCTCTAGACCTCTCCACTACGTGGTCCTCTGCCATGGCCTTTTTATTGTTTTCATGGCGTCTTTGGCCTTCACAAGGGAGGGAAATCCTTCAAAGTCTGTTAGGAGTCACCAGGCACTGCATTTCGCAAGTTCACAGGTTTTAAATGTTTTTGGTTTTGTTTGGCTTGGTTTTAAAATTGGCTTTCTCACTCTGGTAGGAACAGAGGCTGAGAAGTGTGTTTCTGCCGCTTGAGGGGATGGTGGGTTTAACAGCATTTCCTTGTGGAAGGCCCTGGAATCTCTCATGTACGGGGTAACGTAGCTCAGTGTAGATGGTGGGTCTGTCCGTGAGAACTTGCCCGCAGCGAGCCCTGTGCCGCAGACACATCCCCTGCGCTCATTGGGGTGGGGCGGTGAAGGGGCTGCCTCAGAGCAAACGTGGGGCCTGAGTTCCCTCACTCGTCCCGAGAGCGTGACCAAGGGCTTCAATGGACGGGGGTTAATGAAGAAAACAAAAGTTGAGTCCTGAGCAGAGATGGAGCCTGACGCAGTGTGAAGTGGGGCCCACATGGAAGCAGCTTTCTTTTAGGAAATGGAAGCATTTTATCTTGGTCACGATGCCGTCTAAATTCTGAGAGTGGGCCTGTCCTTCTTGCCCCTCTTGCTTTGTCAGCTCCAGTGTTTCAATAAGCCTTAGGTCACAGTGACTGAGCTGTAAATATCACACAGAATAATCTGCATACACTCCAAACGCTTTTTAAATATTAAGCAGCTTACCTTTCTTTGTGGCATCACAGTCCTCACAGAGACAGGCTCCCTCAGTTCCTCCATTGACTCTGTCCCGGCAACACACACTGTCCCGGAGTCGCTCAGAGTGCCCACCGTGTGCTCGGGGCCCTGCCAGACAGCAGGCAGTTTGTTGTTTGGTTTTTTTCCTTTTTAAAATTTTTATTATTTATATATTTTTAAAAGTATGTTTTTATTGATTTCAGAGGGAGGAAGGGACAGATAGAAACATCCATGATGAGAGTCATGGACCAGCCGCCTCCTGCTCGCCCCCTGCTGGGGGTCGAGGAGCCTGCACCCCAGGCCTGTGCCCTAACCGGGAATCAGATGGCGGCGACCTGCTGGTTCATGGGTCGACGCTCAACCGCTGAGCCACGCCGGCTGGACTTTCCTCTTTTTTAAATGGGGCCCTGAAAATATCCTAGTGGTTCCTTTGGGTTTTGCATGGACGGGTGTAAAGCAGATTCCTGGGCTGAGAGTGGGCAGTGCCATAGTGCAGGTGGAAATGGGAATCTTGGAAGGCTGAGCCTCGCGCTCCATGGGGGGAGCTTCTGTCCATGTCCTCGGTCACCGAAGGCTTGTTCTCTCCTCTTTCAGACCTAACCACCGTGGCGAGTGCTGCGTCTCCACTCAGAAGCCACAGGAAGGCTGTGCGTCTGGGTGTCTCATGTTCTTGGATTTGATACGAACCCACACGGTCCTTGTTGTCATTGACTGAGCCCCACTTTGTATGTACTTTACTCACATTCCTCTGTTTGTGTTTAGAGAAAGGGAAAAAAAGACATTTTAGCCTTTTTTTAAGGTTATTGATTTAATTTCTTGTTATTTGGTTGCATGAAGTTGCCCTCAACCACTAAGGATTATCAAGACTTTTGCACAAACTTACACGTGTCTAGGATCCTTTTACCGAGGCAGCGATGCCCGTGACTCCTGCCTTTTCTCCACCTCCACCGCACACTCAGTAAATACCAATTTGCTTTTTTTTAAAATGACCACTCGACGTGATGCGGATTTCCTCTCTGGGACAGGACCAGGAAGCAATGCCTAAATACGCGGTATGGGCACATCGGAGACAAAATTGAAACTGTTCTTCATTTCTGAGGCCATGTGTAAAGTTTAATAACGTTGTAGAATATCTATCCGTGTTAGAGATACCCGGTGGCAGCTTACACTTCTCAAAACTCATGTCGTTATGTACACAAGCCCAGTTTCTACGTGTGAGGTCAGTGAGTCCTTTTGTGTTACTCCAAATACAGCAGCTGTTTCTTTTCTCCCACTGCCAGTAAATTTGAGCACCACTCGAGGTGGGTACTTTCCATGTTAAAGCTGGATGTCGGCAGTAGCCCTATGGGAAGCCAGGCAGAGCATCTACTTTTAAATACAGACTTTCAAAAAGAACTTTTCTTTCGGAACTAGGGTTAGAATAGTTGATACTCACCCACACACCGTTACTATGTGTACATTCTTGTTGCCCTTGTGATATAGAGAATTTTATTTATTTTTATGCCAGCTTATATCGTGAGAACACACTCGGTCGGTTTGGGTTTCCTCAGTCCTGTTATGCTTGTCCTCGGAACATATTTCGCGTCCTCAAGGTTTGTAGTTGAAAAGTTTACTGTAAAAAAAAAATCAAAAACAAAAAAATGTATTGTTTTTACAGAATAAATTTATTGGAATGTGTATGGGAGTAAGATTTTGAGGTTGTAAACGACCAGGTTAGTGTGACTTGGCTTCATATGTGTAACGTGAGGTGTCCATGTGACTCATATATTAAAGCAGAATTTGTTAACACAAGTTGACAACAGAACCAAGTGCAGGTGAGGGTTTTCTTTTCACTCTCTCTCTGGGCTTTAAGGGTTTTCTGTAAACACAGGGGGCGGGGAAGGAGCGGCCTTGCAGTTGCTCATGCATCTGGGATACTCGCCAGCTCAGTGGACCCGAAACTCAGACACTTGGCGTTACCCAGGTGTCGGTCAGGAACCTGTTTTCTGTTTTCTCACATTGGTGGTGAGCTAGTGAACAGCATGAAGACGGGATGTGGGGAGCCCTGAGAACCCAGGGCCGTTGATGGTGGCAATGGGGGCGGTGACGATGGTGATGGTGGTGGCCGAGGGTTTGAAGCATCGGGCCACCCAGGCCACAGCTTCAAGGAGGCAGCTGGGTTTGGTTTCTTTCGTTCAGGAAACGCTGATTTTTCTTTACTGAACTAACCTCACTCACAGCTCTGGCTGTGGAGAGGTCATTAAAGATTGTAGGGGTGACAGTCCTGTTCTGTTCTTTTACAGGTCTCCTTAATTTTTAGTATTTTAATTTAATTTCAAATGAGTGACATTCCATTCATCAACAGCTCTCTTCGTTGCTGACACTGAAGTATAAGGGAGCATTAGCTGACGTTTTGAGTTGGGAGCATCATAAATGAACCACAAAACTATGAAAAAGAAGTTTCACATTTAATAAGATCTGTCATCATAACAGGACAAAAATAATTTTATTAAAAATATACAGAAACACAACAGAAGGCTGTCCAGTGACCAGAGAAACAAGTGTTGCATTAAGGGTACCAATCAGGCTACCAATCTGTCCTTAGCCGTTTAAACGCAAAAAATTCTTAGTAAAAGCAGTTTTTTAAAAAACAGTAGTAAATCATACACTTCCCTTGGGAAAACATTTTTCAAGTAAATTTTAAAGTACTCTGACAATTTGCCTTTTCTCTCGATGTTGCTGATAGCGCCGGCATCTCGTATGCCAAAGGCCTCTCTGCCGGCTGCTGTGAGTCTTGATGCGCATACGCCGTGTTCGCTTTTGAATGGTTCTCCTTCCACGCTCACTGCTGTAGGAGCGAAGGTGTAATTTTTTCACACTTACATTTAACACGTGCAAACAGAACACTGAGATAGGCAGTTGAGTTCATTCACAAAAAAATTCTGAATATATCCTTGAAACAAACTTTCAACAGCTTCAGCTTTCCTTCAAAAACGGACCCCCACAGTCCCACACGTAGCTCAGGTGCAGTACAGAAGGAGCGTGGGGGGGAGTGGGGCGGGACAGAGCCTTGGTGCGGGGGCGTCGCAGTCTGTCGTGGAGAGAAGAGCCCGGCGGGGCCACGACTTCACTCCGCTTTCTCACCCGCCTTTGTTTTCACGAAGAACTCGGGCCTGTAGATGCAGCGGCAGGCCAGGAGCTGAGGAAGCAGCCCGTAGGCTACGTTTACCGCCAGAAACAGGACTTTGGCTTCCTCGGGGACTCGGTAGATGTACGCAGTCCTGGCGTGAAGAGAGGCACCGATGTGGGAAAACTGGGCCTGTCGCGTTGGGGGAAAAAAGGAGAGGGTTAAGTGTGAACTTTGCATCCACTTGGATGCGCGATGAGTTCTGCCCGATTCGTTCAGACCGTGTTTCTGTGCCCTGAGAGACCGTTGGCGCTTCCAAACAGCCCACCGCCTAGGATGTTCCGTGGGTTCAAGGTCCGCCTCGACGCCGCTGTGCAAGTAGAGCGCACCCTCCTGACAGTGGCTCCGTCACAGCCGCCTCGGGACCCTCCCGGGGCCCTGGAGCGAACACTAGTCCAGTTACCAGTCTCCCCCAACTCCCTGGAGCAAATGCTCAAAGCCATTGATGACGTGTTTTTGTTGGTTGGTTTATTAATGTATTTGTTTCTTATGCAACTTTAAAAAAAAATAATAATGCCAAGGGTTGGTTTTGTAAGATGAGGTTATCTGTTTGCCAGCATGGGCAGGGCTGGGTTGGGGCTGCTCTACTGAACTAGAGCGGGCGACCCGGTCAAAGCCTCCCGCCAGTGCCTCTGCTCGTTCAGAACCATATGGCACACGGCGCCGCTTGGGCATTTCTTTATATTTTCTACAAGAACAGGGAAAACGGCATTGGAAAAGGCTCCTGTGGGAAGGATTCCTCAGGGTCCCTGTATCGTCGCAAAGTGCAACCCCAGGAGCCTGCATTTCCGCACCTCACTGAGGTTCCAGATGGACGTGAAACAGAACTGGGAAGCTAAATAATCAGTAATAAGTGGTGGACTGTTCCTTGGGTCCCAAGTGAAGAAACAAAAGGTGTCACAACATAAAGGAGGCACAGGAATGACAATGAAAAGCTAATTTGCTTCAAATACGTGAGCGTTACTTGACATTTGCTTCCCTGTAAAATCCGTTTGTTCTGCTACGTGGCTGACAGATTCAGCGTGTCACTGGGCACCTGACTTTATTTACAAGGGAAGGACAAGCTTCCCTAAGCAGCGTGTGTACCGATTTGTATCAGTAACAGATGTTTTCACAAATCACTGATGAGTTCTGGGGACCTCGGCCACAGCGTCGCTACTCTCTGGAGACAGGTGTTGCCAAGGACACCTCTGCTGTGCCCTCCAGCGCCCCTCCCCAGGGGCAGACGCCGGACAGAACCATTTCATCTCTGGGCCGTGAGGACAGAAGACCCTGAGAGCAGCGGGCATGTGAGAGGCTGCTCCTGTGGACGTTGGGGGACACTGAACAGGAGCTTGTGCCCCCCTCCCCCCACTGTTTTTCCCTGGGGCCTATTTTGAATGACGGTTTGTCTGCATATATAACCAGATCTTGTCTTCTCTTCTAGAGGCCAGATTCAGACCCCGATTTTCAGAAATGTGGGTTTGGTGTCTCTTGTCTTTACAGACACTTGCGCTGTATATACATCCCAAAAGCCACCACATGCAGGGACACGCCAGCCATCTCTGGAGAGAGTGGGTGACACAACCAGGCGTGCCACCTGCACCGGGAAACCCCCACAGCCTCAGGCTCTTGCGCATCTGGTGCAGCTAACACCTCAGTGCCGCCGCAGACCACCATCACGTGCTTAGGTCAGAGGGCAAGCCCCCCACGGGCAGGTTCTGTGTCTGATGTCTTGTCGCACCTACTGCACTGATACAGCTCAGTAAACGTTCTACAACCGTGGTCTCTCGGCTGTCAGAATTACACGTCAAGCTCTCCCACAGAGCATTCGCCGTTTTTGTACCTGTTTTATTTAGTGGGTCCTCTGCAGAATTATTTAATGAGAGGCAGATACTGTGATTGTCCTAATCAAGTGGTGTCTCTGTGTGAGAGGAGGCCTGAGGTCAGTTTTTTGGGTTTTTTTTGCAGTTTCCAGTACTGAGCATAGTTTAGATGGTGGGTTCATGTGGCCACACCTTGGCTGAATGAGCATCCGACCCTGCCTTCCGCCCAGCGCAGAGTCCAACACACAGGGTCCTGAGGTCTCTGGAAGATCTCAGTCTCCCCTGGGGAGGGTCTCCTTCCCCAGCACGTAGCTGAGAAGGGGCTGCACAGTGTCTCCTGGGTGATGTTCCCTCCTCAGGATGGGGCCTGATTATCAGGCTGGGGTCAGTGGCTCCGTGACCTCTGTTGTAAGCTAACAGGTGGCCCAGGGTCATAGATACAAGTCAGAGATCCCAGACATTTCCCCAGAATCCAGTGATGAGATCGAGCATCTAATAATGTGTCCTGTGCTTCATTCTAAATAATTTCTCATGTTTAATTGAGATGCAGTTTGATTTTTTTTTTCTTTTAAAATGGATGATTGGGGTACAAAATGAGGGAATAGCCCAGCCGGTGTGGCTCAGTGGTTGAGCATCCAGGAGGTCAGGGTTCAATTCCCGGTCAGGGCACAGGCCCGGGTTGCAGGCTCCATCCCCAGCAGGGGGCGAGCAGGAGGCAGCCGATCAATGACTCTCATCATTGATGTTTATATCTCTTCCTCCTCTCCCTTCAGTAAAGACATATTTAAGAAAGAATGAAAGAAAATGAGGCAATAAAGACAAAAGTTAAACTTCAGTAGCTCTGTTTTCTTATATTTATGGAGACAGCCTGGAAGGAGTGATCGAAAATCACATTCCTGGTTCCAGAAAAAAACAAAGTTTCCTGTGTCCACATAAATACAGGCAAAACCAGGTACGAACGTTGAGACAACAGCCAGGCTGTTTGGGCCGTCGCAGTGTCAGTAGCTAACCCAGAACCCTTCAGTCCGCAGGCCAATGCTCCAACCACTGAGCCAGGCCGGCTAGGGCTGAAATCTTAAATTGAGATAGACACCTTCAAGTTAACAGCTCTCAATTCTCTTCAGTGGCTGTGGCGTTGAAAGACTGGGAGATGTTATTATAAACGGCGATACCACCTGCTGGGTATGTGACATCGGACAAATCATGTAACCTCGCTGGGCCTCATCTGTGTAACTGGTGGAGCACCTGCCAGGTAGTTACTGTGAGATTTAAATAAAGTATGTATGTAGAACTGTCTAATAAAGAACTATAAAAAAAGGGGTGTGTGTGTCCAATTGCTATCTCCTACCCTAAAACACCAGGCAGACGTGTTTTTCAGATACTCAACCACGACAGCTGAATCCCCAGTAAACGTGCATCTGGAGCATGTTTCGAGTACCTGAGCAAGGCCTCCCGCGTGTACCAGCGTCACGTCTGCCATCCAGGAGCATCCAGGTACCACTAAGCCGTAAAGTGCCACCAGGAAATAAGGGACAGAATAGAAGAGGTACGCGAGCATCTGCGTTGAACAGAGAACCGTCATCAGCCAATCGGCCATTAACCCGTCGGAAGAACACACAACACCAACCCTTTCAACAATTTCAGTTTCTCATGTGGAACCACATGTTACCATCTTTACATTTTTAAAAATATGTTTTTACTGATTTCAGGGAGAGGGGGAGAGAGATAAACATCAATGATGAGTCATTGATCAGCTGCCTCCTGCATGCACCCCACTGGGGATTGAGGAGCCCCAAACCCAGTCATGTGGTTCATAGGGAATCGAACCGTGACCTGGTTCATGGGTCGACACTCAGCCACGCCGGCTGAGCCCATGTTCCTACTCTTAAAGACAGAAAACAGAAAAATCTTAGGCTCTGGAACTACTTGACCTGTATTTTAGGATAAGCAGCAGGATCCTTCAGGTAGGGCTCTTGAAACTGCGTATAGAATCGGCAGAGCTCGGCTGGGCAGTCCAGAGCAATCTGGAAACAAATGAATCGTTACCAAGGTGCAGTGACAGCCGGCTCCTGTATTTGCTGACGAGGCTGCATATGCCAGGTTTAGTCACAGGCAACTTCACCATGTAACAAAAACTATGTGTGGCAGGAGCTCCCCGGAAGCACAGGACCGTTCTGCACGGAGTCCAGCCCACTGTGATTTTGCAAGATTCAAAAATAGCCTCCTCTGTCCAGTGCCTCACAGTGTGCACGGCCTTAGGGGGCAAGGATTTGAGAGCAGGGTCCTCACGTCTGAAGCCACCTCCTGCATCCACTTTGAGAGCAGAGCAGGTTTAGTCCCAGCGCAGTGGACTGGAATCCACAGAAGACACAAAGTATCTCTGGCGCCTTACTGGGTCCTTAAGACAGCTCATGCTGAACCCAGCCAGCCGACCCCAAAACAATCCACTGCATCAGCGCACACTTGTCACTCTGCACCCCAACTGTCACACGATGGCAGCAGGCTTAGAACAGTCGGTAACTGCCATCGAAGCTGAATATCATTTACCAGGACGTTGTGAAGGATCATTGGTTGATAAAAATTGTAACATCAGTCATTTATCGAGCAGCTACTATGTATCAGGCCCTCTACCTGTGTCTGATGTTGGTTATTTAGTCTTCGAAACAATGCTACAAGCTAGCTCCTGTTGTCTTATAGAGGAAGAAACTAGGGTCAAAGAGGTTAAGGGATTTTTCCGAGGCCACAAGGCCACACAGGTGCTTAAGTGGCCAGGATTCCAGCTCCTTACTCTAGAAGCTCTTCTTCAATCCCAATGCCCTACCCTTGAGAACACGTGGGTGCCCAAGGCCACAGTCTTATTGCCATCTTAAGCGATCACCCTTTGCCAAGATATTTAAATCAAATCAGAAATGTCAAAGGAACCAAAAGGAGGACACTCTGGTGGCTACTTTTTCAAGTGCCCTAAAATAAGGGAGGAAAGATATTTCTGGGTAGAGCTTGATCTCAGGACCTGTAGGAGGCAGCATGGAGCAGCCCGGGATGGACCGGTGTGGGTAGGAGAGCCGCAGGACATGGGCCCAGCCCTCCAGGGTCTGATGGGAGGAATGTTCTTTTGTTAGTGTGCTAGGAAGTCTGGTATATGTGGGACGTTGATCTGTTCTGCTTACCAGGCCTCTGAACAGGCTAAATGCAGTTGCCAGGAGGAGACATATGACCAACATACAGTCCAATGGTCTTCTCAGCAGGTCCTTCGCCTGGACTTCTTGAACAACCTAAAACAGAGTTTGTAACCAGTGGGCAGGTCCAGAATGCACCCCCAGAGAAGAACCTGAGACCTCCAAAGAGAATTCCGAAGATGCACAATTCCTATCACAAACCAACCAGCCATGTAACGTCAAGAAAATCATTTTCCCTTTCAAGGCTCAGTTTCCTCTGTGTAATGGGCAGGTGGGGTCACGTGATCTTGGAGGGCCCTTCTCACTGTAAGACCTTTTTTTTTTTTTCTTGAAATAACTTTTTTTGTGATTGTAAATATAAGGCATACTTGTTTCAGAAATAAACCATAGCCCTAGTCTGTCTGGCTCAGTGGTTAGAGTGTCAGCCTGCAGACTGAAGTGTCCCGGGTTCTATTCTGGTCACGGGCTGCAGGCTCCATTCCCGGTCCTGGTCTGGGGCACATATGGGAGGCAACCCATCAATGCGTCCCTCTCACATTGATATTTCCCTCCCTCCCTCCCTCTCACTGAAATACAATGGAAAAAGTATCCTCTGTGAGAATAAATAAATATAAAATAAAAATCACCTTGGAGGGATAATGATAATTTTCTGACGGCTGATGGTAAATTCGGAAACCAGCCCAAACAGGAAGACATGTGTAGGGTATGCTTAAGAAAAACGCAGGGCAAACCCGTGTCCCGAACTTCCCTGTTTAGATAAAAAGAGAGAAAGCGAAAGTCAAAAGTTTGCCGAAAGTGTATATAAACACAAGTGGCATTTAGGATACCCCCCCAGCACCCCCCATCTCAGGTCATCTAAAATCTCACTATGGACCAGATTATTTATTGATTTCAAAGAGAGAGGGAGGAAATGGGGGGGAGAGAGAGAGAGAGAGAGAAACATCAGTGATGAGAGTCACTGATCAGCTTCCTCCTGCACGCCCCCTGCTGGGGATCAAGAATCATGTGTCCTGACCAGGGATCGAACCACGGTCTTGGGGATCATGGGTCAATGCTCAGCCACTGAGCCATGCCAGCCAGGCCAGGCAATATTTTTAACAAGAAAAACCAGATCAACTCAGAACTGTTAGGTGTTTAACAGCACGTCCCACCTACAGTGTCTTTAAGGCGTATTTACTAAAATATCCTGGTCTCTCGCAACACGTAAGTAACCTCACGTTAGCTATAAAGAGTCTTAACTTTCAAGCACATTTTTCAAGTTACCACAGAATGTGAGTTATACACAGCGTGAGGCAAAAGTAGGTTTACAGTTATTTGTATGGAAAATAACACAGTGATTGCCTGGCTGGCGTGGCTCAGTGGTCGAGCATCAACCTAGGATCCAGGAGATCTCGTTTCGATTCCCGGTCAGGGCACAGGCCCGGGGTGCAGGCTCCTCGATCCCCAGTAGGGGGCGTGCATGAGGCAGCCGATCAATGACTCATCATTGATATTTCTCTCTGAAATCAATAAAAAAAAAATGTATTTTTTAAAAAGAGTAACAGTGATGAACAAATAATACGAGAATAAACTGTTTCTCGTATTTATAACTGTAAACCTGATTTCGCCCCGCTCTGTATATTACAAAAGTTATAAGAAGTATTTGCACCTGGAATGTAGCCACAGACACAATACTTGCCCCGTCCAGACCCCTCTAGAGGTCAGGAATCACTGATATTTAAATTGCCTAGTTGTTGAATCAATGTACCCGTCTGAAAACTGCCCAGAGGCATTTCGCCAGGTTTAAGGTTAAGGAGGGAAAAAATCATTCCGGCAAAACAGCTCTTTCGGTCAGCTCGGAATTTCTTGGTTCTGTTACAACCAAAACAGCTTCTCCATTTAAAAAACAATCCCCATTGTTTCAGAAAAGGAAAGTGAATTTTAAGATTAAAAGTTTCTTACCTACAATGTTTCCTGGCACAAAAACAACCATGCTCATCATAATGGATCCCACCCAGTACAGGCCAATGTTTCTGTAACTTTCCCTGTGATGAAAAAAAGTCTCGGCTTAGGATAATTCGTGAAAGATGACTCATGGTGTTACCTTGATTCTAACTGGAAAAGCACGGGCATTGGAACCTTCTGGAGAGTCACAAATCGGACACAAAGAGCCCTGGTGGGGACACTCCGTTTCCATGTGTGACACAGTGGAACCCTCTCTGTGTCCTGAGCAGGGACTGCACTTGCCGCCCTGACCTGCAGACCGCAACACCCTCGCCGCCTTGTGAACCGAGAAAGGAGACTCGCAAGCGAAAGGAAACTGGGTCCATTTCTCAGATTCTCAAGTTTCTCAAGTACGAGTCATGGGGTGCGAAGTGGATTCTTCCTGGCGTCCCAGGATTCTGGCCACAGCCCCCGAAAGGTGGAGAGGATAGTGACATACACCCCTAATCTTCAAGCTCCTCCAATGGATGTCCCCAAAAGGAGGGTCTTGGAAAGGAACAGAGGGGTTCCCTTCCGAACTGTGTGTTTCCTGCCCTGTCCTGCACCTAAGCCAAACCCTAGAGACCCATTGGGTGACTGTCGCCAGGGGGCAGGCAGGAGTCTCCTCTCCCGTGGGTGCTAACAGAGCTGCGGGACACGTAAAGCCGGGTCTGACCCATCTCCATCGAGCAGCCTTCGTGTCCGTGGACGCCTGTCTGTGTTGATGCCTCTGTGTCCCCCTTACATACCCGCTCGTCGGTTGCTAAGGTGGCAGAGGTGAGGTGACTTACTCCCATGCGATGGCTGCCACCATCACCAGGTACATCAGGTAGTGAGCAGAGCCGTCCCAGTAGCAGACCATGTGCCCATACGCGGTGTTCAGGTACGGTTCGCCCTGACGGAAGCATTGAAAGGAAGCCCAGTTTACATGCGACTCGAGACACCCACTGGAGCACCTGCAGTGCAGGTAAAACCGAACAGAACTGATCTGTGCGAATCCTCAATTCATTTAAAGTATCTTATTTACGCCCGGCTGGCGTGGCCCAGCGGTTGAGCATTGACCTAGGATCCAGGAGATCTTGGTTCCATTCCCGGTCAGGGCACAGGCCCGGGGTGCAGGCTCCTCGATCCCCAGCAGGGGGCGAGCAGGAGGCAGCCGATCAGTGACTCTCATCACTGATGTTTCTCTCTCTCTCCCTCTCCCTTCCTCTCTCTGAAATCAGTGAAAAACACATTTTTTTTAAAAAGTATCTTATTTCCATTAAATACAAGTTCTGGAGGAGGGCAATGGGCCTGTTGTGAGATGGGCGTTGCTGAGCGTACACACTGCTGAGAACTGTGTCCCCATTTCCCAGGCACATAAGCAGCCTCTGTCCCCAGCAGTGAATGACACACCACGAGTCACCCCTGCTCACACCAGGTGAAAGGGTTTCGTCTCCAAGCAAA